GTTGCGAGGAGTAATCTGACACTCAAACGGGTTGGGCCGCATGTTGAGGCCATTTCTATGATACACGATCAATAAGCCGCTACGTACTAGTGAATCAAGAACGAAGAACCATCATAGAAGCACTTACGTATAATCAAAAATATCCACGGGAATTTCGTTTCCATGCTGGTCCAGCGCCTTTCGAATATCGAAGCCCCACAGTAACCGTGCAATGGTGATAAAAGTCCCCTGCTCAGCGAGCCCCTGGCCGCTGCACACTCGCCGTCCCCATCCAAATGTCATGTAGCCCTTATCGACCGGGAACGGACGATGAACGGGGCTTTCTTCAAAGTATCGATCCGGATTGAAGCGGTCGGGCTCGGGGAATTCTCGTTCGTGATGATGAATTGCCCAGATATTCCCTTGTACCCAGGTATTTCTAGGGATTAACCAGCCCTAAGTAGGCCCATTGTGTCAGCACATCTAGATATCAACAGAAAGTGGTTTCAAGAAAGAGCATTTTACCTTATAACGATCATCCTTAATCGGCGCATGCGGCTGCCCCCCAATAATAGCCACCGATCTCCACCGCAGTACTTCTTTCACAAATGCCTTCACATACGGCAGGTTGGGTTCATCCTCAAAAGTCGGACTCCGGTGTGGCCCCACCACCCGATCCAGCTCCTCCCATGCCCTGGGCAGCGTCTCCGGGAATGCACAGCAAGCGAGAACAAATGTGACAAGCGTGGAGCTGGATGTGTCGCTGCCTGCTCCGAAAAGGTTACCCGAGAGCGATGAGATCTCCATCTTGGTAAGGTTGTGTTTCGGTGCTTCTTCGAAGAGTTTCCTTGCGTAGCACGGTCTTGCCTCTGGATCACTGACGACTTCTTCTGCTAGCGCGTAGAAAAAAGGCCTCCCGCGTCCTTGTCCATTGCCCAATCCGTGCTTCCAGGGTGCCATCCAGTTCGGGAATTTGGCGAGGACTAGACCATGTTAACTAAGGCACGGGACATAGGATATGTTGATAGAAGACTAACAAGGAAATGACTCCATCAACATGGGAAACGATTTCCCCGGCACATTCAACTCCGCCGCCCGCTGCATCACCGCGATCACCTCCGTGATAATCGGGTCCGTATATGCAGACACACGTCTTCCAAATCCAATTATCGAGACCACGCTCGTCGCGTACCTCTCGAAATGGCTCACATACTCCTTAGGTTCGCGCAAGAGGTCCAAAGCAACGACCTTGCTTTCGTCGTTCTGGAACCCGCGGTAGTTGCGCACTTGCTGCAACCCAACACCCATATGAGTTAGTTTCCTGTGCAGCCGCCACCTATCTCCATAGTACATGTTGACCATATTAGACTGGCCAGCACCGAGCTCACTGAAAACGACCATCCGTGGGCGGGAGGCATAGATCGCAGCTCGCTTGTTGAGGAGTTCGTTGGCGGCCCAGGCGTCGCAGATCCAGATTGTTGGTCGCCGGCCTGTCCAGAATGTGATCATGGGCGTGTTGTATTCTTTTGCTAGTTGCTCGAAGTATATCCATGGTTTTTGATCTGGTAGGAGATGTGTATTTCCGATTAGGGGAAGTGGAAATGGGCCTGGTGGCTGTGGCCAATTGTTAGCGCAGCTATCGGGCTTCCATCAGTTATTGGTGGAAGCTTGCCATTTGGAAATGGAGGTATATCATATATCCATAGTCTACAGTCAAGACCAATCCCAGGATTACAATTACCAGAGGTAATGCTGTGGTGAGATTTACTTTGCTCCATCCAGGATGGCTGAGAATGTGCCGATCCTGGATGAGAGCAAAGAGTTGCTCAACCCTTTCGACTATCATGATTCTTAGGTGGTAATATACGAACAGGAAGCTTTGCTACGGTAACTACGCCAACTAGCTATTTACATATATTTGCAGATCCCCATTTCACCCTACTTCGGATAAGTGTATATACCGAAATCGCGATGATAGGCTTGATAGCTCCTGCGGGGTATCGTCTTCTGACCTGGTTGGGAGATCAACATATACACTGGGACATCAAAGTGGCGGCACAAGTGGCGGTAGTTTCTACTACTGAGCTTACCCCACATTCTGCACTGTTTGAAGAAAGTCTGGGGAAGGATGCGCATCTCTTGGATTATGGGCGGCAATTGTGACCATCCAGCCGTCATTATACTGCTCCTATGTTTCGTTTGGAGACCTACAGTCGTAGAAAAATACCATCCAGGTACGCCGCACGACAATATGTTTGTATTCAAGTTAACCTGAGGTTTATCTTCTTCCATCCCGGTAAGCCCTAATATATTCCATCTGAGCGGGATGGATCCGCTGCCGCAGCCCCAGATGTTCGGAGCCCCTTTGCGGGGTTTGTGGGGTAATTCCAGCCGATCTCTGAAAAGAAGTACATTTGCATAATCTGAATGGACAATCCGACTGAGTCATGTACATTTCAAAGGAACGCTATCGGTGGGAAATCAGAGTCAGACATAGGTTGGTGACTTTCAAGGTGTCCTCGGCATAGGTGCTGTTCTTTTATAGCCGGAGCTACGAATCGATATGTGGGGATACACCTTGAAAAGAAAGTGGCGCTGCCCTCTGGCCTTGAGGCCGTAACCGATGTTGCAACTACCTTTTCGTAAGTGCTTGCTTCTCTGTATCATCATGGCAGAGGTTAGTATATCCACGACAACATTATGGCAGAACCGAAAATGCCTTTTCCTCTGCTCTCTGGTCTCGATGGCCAACCTGCAATATGGATTTGACCTGGCTGCTATTGGATCTCTCCAGGCTATGCCAGGCTTTCTCAAAGTATTCGGATACCCAGATCCAGGATCTGAGGGAGGATATGCAATTGACGTGAGGCTATATCTCCTCTTTTCAGAACGACACGCACAAACTAACGAACCGCCAATTCACATAGAGCACGGTTCAACAACTGATAACGTCTCTCCTAACTCTGGGCTCCTTCGTCTCTTCACTGGTAGCAGGCTTCTTCTCAGCCTACCTAGGCCGCCGACATGCCTTGTGGCTCGCCTGCATCGTCAACGCCATCGCATGCGCAATCCAAATCGGCGCACCCTCACCAGGGGTTCTATACCTTGGACGAGTACTATTAGGATTCGCAAACGGATTCCTGGTTACATTCTCCAATATCTACACTGCAGAGGCATCACCAGCCCACCTGCGTGGCGTGATGGTTGCTCTGTTCGCGTACTGGGTGAATATCGGTAGTATTATGGGTGCTGCGGTAGATAACAAGACTAAGGAAAGGATGGACCGCCTTTCATATCGGATTCCCTTGGCTTGTCTATATATTGTCCCTACTTTCCTCTTCGTGGCGTTGTTCTTCGTCCCTGAAAGTCCGCGGTGGCTTCTCCATCGGGGAAAAGTGCAAGCTGCGAGACGAGCGCTTGAGCAGCTCCGCGGTACTAGCTACGCTACGATACGTGCTTCATCCAGCGGGGATGAAAGCGGGGATGAGATGGGCCCGTCTCTTCTGGAACTGGAGTGGGCGGAGATGGTCAAGGGTGTCGAGGAGGAAAAGCGCGAGCAGGGTAATGTTACAGCGTTAGACATGTTCCGTGGTGAGTTCACCTTTATTTCCGAACCTGACAGAATGAATTAATCCTTATCTTATAAACAGGAACTGATTTCCGCCGAACAATCCTATGCTACTGCATGATCGGCTGCCAATCCGCGTCCGGTGTATGGTTCCTAATCGGCTACCAAACCTACTTCTTCACAGTGTCAGGCATAACCAAAGCCTTCGAGTTCTCCATTATGAACACCTGCTTCGGCTTCCTCGGCGTCAATATCGACATGTACGCAATCCGGAACTGGCTCGGTCGTCGCGCAATTCTCATGCTTGGCGCTATTGCCTGCGGATTGTGCCAATTAGGAAGCGCCATTGCAGCAACGGTGAGTCCGAACTCTCTTCCCACAGGTCAGGCGCTAGTTGCCTTCACGGCATTGTTCATGTTCTTCTACAATGGCTGTGTTGGTGCCGCGAGTTACCCCGTTGCAACGGAGTTGGTCAGCTCGAGGTTGCGCGCGTGGACGGTGGGCACGGCCACATCTCTAGGTTACCTGCTTGCTTGGTTAGTGAACTTTTGTACGCCGTATTTTATTAATCCTGAACATTTGAATTGGGTATGTTGTCTCCCCCTGGGTTCTATTTGTTTCGTGTCAAGACTCAAGACGGTTTGTTGTACAGGGCGCCCGCTACGGATATATTTGGGCTGGGTCGAACCTGGCTTGTGTCGTCTTCTTCTACTTCTTCATTCCTGAGATGAAAGGTCGCTCGCTGGAAGAGTTGGATGAAATCTTTGCCGCTCGGGTCTCGGCTCGCAAGTTCTCGTCCTATCAGTGTCTTATTGGGGAGGCAGCGAGAATCGATGCTGTCAATGCGGAGGGTCGTAAGCATAACTGGAAAAAATAGTTAAAAAAAAAAAAAAGAAATTAGGGTTAGGTCAGCGAATATTGCCAATTCTTTTTGTGAGGGCTGTATGGCTTTCTACTGTATTCCCAAACACTCCTCGATGTTCCCTACATATAGAACGATATTTCTACCATCACTACGTTGGGTAATTGCTTTGCGAGACAACATTTTACCTAGAATTATATGTGATGTATCACTTCATCCCGTATCCTGCAGAATACGTGATCGTGTTTAGAGCCAATAACACACAGATAAATTGATGATCAGAATGAACTCATGCATCTTAAACTTCTCCTCATTATTAATGACTCTCTGTTATTGGATCAACCACAAGACCCGAAGTATGATTCGCCCATAAACATTATCAATGCGTTTATGACAACTTCGTGCTAATTAATTGCACGGTCCTGAACCTGTTTTCTGCCCCGTATATCTCGAAACACTTATCCTACATAATAACCTGTAATATTCTTTGCTTTGGCCTTCTTCTGCGACCGGGAACATCCTCTCCTTCCTCCTTACCCAGGCGAAGCTCGATATACAGCAGAAAACAGCGGGACAAAATCTGTGCCCGCCATGGAGTCTATACGTCTACTTCTCGCAATTATCCTCGTTGGTCTATATCTTGTTAGATCATTATTCAGCAGAAAGCACCCTCTAGGACCCTTACCACCAGGACCTCCCCGAAAACCAATTATCGGCAATCTAACAGACCTGCCATCCCACGATGTCCGCGATTGGGAATACTGGCTTACACATAAAGACCTCTACGGTAGTCACCTCGCATACAGAAAAGAATACACTCTCCTGAACGATACTAACATCGAATAGGTCCAATCAGCTCATTGAGCATACTAGGCGACAACATCGTCATCCTCAACGACGCCCGCTACGCCCGAGAAATACTCGAAAAGCGATCTTTCATCTGGTCCTCCAGACCCAGTTGGAACTTCGGTAAAATGTCGTCTTCATTTCCACTAGACATCCTTACACCCAGTAGTGGCTGCTGACCCCAGCCCAGGGCCGGTTGGGATAAGATTCTAGGTACCCTAGAATATTCAAACCCTTCGTTTAAGGGCATGCGGAAGGCCCTTGGTCATCAGATTGGATCGAAGGCGGCTGTGTCTCGATTCAATGCGGTGCAGGATCTTGAAGTCCGTCGGTTTCTTCTTCGTGTACTTGAGGATCCGGATAAGTTACTACAACATATACGCAAGTATGTTTTGCGCTGCTGTTCTGCTTGGAATGATGAGCATATTTACTGATAAAATTGCTAGAGAGGCTGGTGCTATCGTTTTAAAGGTCGCTTATGGCTATACGATTGAGCCACATGGGCCTGACCCCCTTGTTGACCTCGCTGATGAGGCTATGGCTACTTTTGGGTTGGCCATTCTTCCGGGGACGTGGGCTGTGGATTTTATTCCCATCTGTAAGCTGTTGGGGAGAAATCTCTCCCTTTTTGGTGCTGGAGTTGACTTATATCTCAGTGAAACATGTGCCTACGTGGTTTCCGGGGGCTCGGTTTGCACGGATGGCAAAACAATTTCGAAAGAATGTTGCAGATTTCAGTGATGTGCCATTCGCATTTGTGAAACGGAAATTAGCCCAGAAGGACTTTGAGCCATCTTTTCTGGCCGGTTTACTTCAGAAGAATGTGAGCCAGTCTGGGCCGGGGTCTTATGAAGAAACGGTGATAAAGTGGGCTGCTGCGTCCTTCTATGGTGGCGGATCTGATACGGTATACATACATTCTGTCCATACCACACTCCAAGTATTGAGACCAATGCTGATATATGCCAGACGGTATCCACCATGTCGAGTTTCTTCCTTGTGATGGCACTCTTCCCCGAGGTGCAACGGAAGGCGCAAGCCGAAATTGATCGTGTCGTAGGGCCAGACCGTCTACCTAGCTTTCAGGATCGCGAAAATCTCCCATATATTAATGCCATGGTCAAAGAAATCCTCCGGTGGCATCCGGTTCTCCCGATGGGTACAGCGCACGCCTCCGTCACCGAAGATATGTATGAAGGGTATACATTTCCCAAAGGGACTCTGATGGTCCCGAATGTCTGGTGCGTTTCATCCTGTTTGCGACGCCTACTTACAAATATCTTTTTTATTCGATTGTTTAAGTGAGCGCTCAAAATAAACAAAACAATTCCACCCTGCAGACCGACCATGTACCAGAAGGTCAACTATTCCCGCTAACCTCATTCAGGGCTTTTACACACGACCCCAATACCTACCCAGATCCTCACGCCTTTAAGCCAGAACGCTTCCTAAGCTACGAAGGACACGAACCCGAGGCCAATCCGTACTACTTGGTCTTCGGATTCGGACGCCGTGTATGCCCAGGCCGCACACTAGCTGATGCGAACCTGTACATCTCCATTGCTCAATCGGTGGCAGCCTTTACCATCACCAAGCCAACTCGAGATGGTAAGGAGATCGATTCACGGGCCGAATATCAAGCGGGTGCGATCAGTCATCCGGTGCCGTATAACGTTACTATCAAACCGCGTAGCCCGCAGTATGAAGAGCTTATCCGCGCAGTGGAAACAGACCATCCGTGGGAGAAGAGCCATTCTGAGGAGCTTAAGGATCTTACGCTGGTGTGATTTTTGGCGTGGGTATCTCGGTGATTTCGATACTTTTTATTGTTGGTACTATTGGGACTGCAGAGACGGCGTCGCTGTTGGCTCATCCAAGAACAATATATTTTGCGTGGTGTCTCCACTCAAAGATATATGTCATTCCATGGTACCAAGGGGCGTTGCACGATTGAACCAGTACCTTAGACTGAGCCTATGGAATGAGTGTGTTTTCAGGGTTGGGCAACAACAGAGGGCCTGGACGTGGCCATAAGAACGCATATTTTGTCTCAAACCAAGTCAGCAAAAAGGAAAAGCGTAGCAACACCCAAAACAAGTCTCCTAGAGACATGTGAAAAAGCAATGGAAAGCAAAAAAAGATGGAGACGCGGGGAATCGAACCCCGGACCACTCCCATGCTAAGGGAGTATTATACCACTAAACCACATCCCCAATTGGATATGAGAGCACAGTTTAGAAAGTTATATGAGGCATGCTCAACGGTCAGGTCAATTGTCGCATTCCAGGCCAGATTCCAAGAATGCGGTCAATGTCCAGAGTTCAGCTAATGCGGCAACCCACGTGGAAAGGGAGATAATCCCGTTGAAACATTTGTTCCAGACCGGCCAGCGAGGTATGTGGTATGATATTCCTGACCGCCTGTGAACGGACATTGGAGACCCAACTTGGTGATGGGGGGGCCGAGCATCACGGAGCAGACTCCGGAAATATATTGTTGGTCTGACATGCTGCAGGTTGTCGCATACACTTTCCCACCCCATCCACTCTGCCGTGTACTACTCCCTGTCGGTGGACGACAGCTCGAAGGCAAGTTTACCTTCTGTCAGACCGACTAATCTTGCCGGGATTCTTTCGTAGAAGTTTAATTATAGTACCGAGTGGAGTGAGATCATCTCCCAAAAATATAACTGCCTGGTGTCGTGTGGCTGTGGAAATTCAAGACGTATGCAGCTGAGACAGGCAACCAAATTTCAATTCGTAACGGACCAGGGATTTCCGTGCGCATTTCCCAGCGTGATCGAAATACCTTGGAGGGAGGGGGATCAATTAATTCGTGGGACCGGATTCGAGATGGAGCTGCCTTTTTCCGTGAGACCTACAGTGACAGCTCACGAGGTGGAGGAGAGCATGCATCTCTTCGTCTTGCTGTAAAGCCAGAAAACGGAGTCCGTGTATTAAGGTATGCAGCCCACATTTCAAGGTGGAGACCTGCTGTGGGACACTGAGAGTCTCGGCAGGAATGCTGGGTGGTCTCGAGACGACTCGGGCGCAAAGTCTACGCCTGACGATGACGATGATCAGGAAAGGAGTGTTGCAAAAGTGGATTTCTGGTGGAAAATTGAGCGGTGGCTGGAGGATCTCTTGAAAGTTGATACCATCACAATACAAGTGTGAGGCTGTTGCGTCAACCTTGGGTCCTTGGAAAGTTCTGAAACGGGGAGGAAAATCAAGTTGTATCGGAACCTGCGACCGATAAATACAGGGCGCTAGCCTGCATGAGGGAAAGGCGGTTGAATATTTGCATGCAGGAACACACGGGCTCCACTAATCAGAATGAATCCCCAGCCACCCCCAGCCACCCCAAATCTCAGCGCCTGACCCAGGGATCCGCTCCGCATCCAATCAGGCTGCACATCGGGCGTAATAACGTAAGTTTGGGTAAAGTTTCCATATCCGCTCAGATCGTCTTATCGCAAGTTCTTGTCTTGTCTTGTTTGCTTTCCCCTCCCTTTCTTCATCTCATCTCATCTCATCCTTTCCTTTTCTTCCTCACTCGATCTGAGTCTTTGTGTTCTTTGGTTTATCAACTTTCCCACCCCTGCAGGTTGTTAAGCCCCCGGTCGTGTAAAAAAGAAAGATTCCGGTGTGGACTGGCACCGTTGGTTTTTCTTCTATTTGTTATTGTGTGGCCGTTGGTTGCATAGATCCCTTGTATTAATTATTGTACTACACTTGCGCCCCCCCCCCAAATTTGCAAAATCGTTTTCGTTGCGACGAATGCGGTGCCTCCCAGTGATATCGCATTCCTTTGATTAATTCCCCCCCTCCCCTCAATCCTCTCGGGGCGACGTATCAATTCGCTGTCATTATAATATGGCTTCCAAACCGCCCCGGTTGTCGATGATCAACCATGCCGCCGGCATTTACGCTGATATGTCCGTCGATGGGCCTGCGATTGGAACTCTGGTTCTCGTCATCGACCGGGCGAAGAACCTGCCCAACAGAAAGACAATGGGGAAACAAAATCCCTATTGTGCGGCTCGTTTAGGGAAAGAAGCTAAGAAAACCGATACTGACTTGCGAGGGGGCCAAACACCGAGATGGTACGTGCCAAAGATTTCCTTTGTTTGATCTCGGTCTCTTCTCTCTCTCTCTCTCTCTCTCTCTCTGTCTGTCGACTTCTCCCGAATGACCTGAATTTGACCCGTGCATGTTGACATTTTCTAGGGATCAAGAACTTCGATTTACCGTACACGAGTCGCCAGACTATTTTAGACTCAAGGTAACCATATTCAACGATGACAAGAAAACTGACCTTATTGGGGAGACCTGGATTGATCTCAAAGACTTGATCATCCCCGGTGGTAGCCAGAGTGATCACTGGCATCCATTGCAGTTTCGTGGAAAGTATGCCGGTGAAGTCCGTATCGAGATGACTTATTACGATACTAGACCAGAAGATGAGGCAGTGATTGAACGACGGACGCAAGCGGCAGAGAAAGTCAACGTCCACAGTAGACCGAGCACCTCAAGCTCAAGCCTAAACTTAAGGTCAAGTCCAGCACCAATCAGCTCCTCTTCGTCTCTATCAGGACCCCGACAACTGAAAGAAGTCAAGCGACGTCCACTGCCCGGTGGTCCTCCCGGGTCAGCGCCGGCACGTCCTGCGCTTCCAGAAAAGATTGCTTCAGCTCCGCCAGCACCCACCCAGTCCCCTCCTCGACCAATGCCCGAACACACCCATTCCACTCCACCCCTGCCAACCCACGATTATCCCCACTCTACGCCGTCCCCAGTGGAATATACGCGCCACTCGTCGCGACCTTCAGGGCCTCCAGAGGTCCCCTTGGATGCATTGGTGTATGGCCCACCACCGGGGGTACCTTCGCACTCCGGGAGAACCTATGAATCTCCCGATGATTTCCACCAAGAATGGAGTAATCCATCCCATCAGGCCCCGCCTCCCCCTCGGCGTCATCCGCAGGAAGTACCCTACCATTCGCACCGTGAAAGGCCAGACTCGTATGATATACGCTCCTACGCACGACCGCGGTCTGGGTATGGCAATGCGCCGCCCACGGACTTTCGCTCTTCTAGGCATGACCGGCCAACAAGTCGATCGGGACCCGAGATGTATGCGCCGATGTCAGAGGCAACACCACCACGTCCGAGCAGCCACCACAGCAACCATTATGCATTCGCATCGCCGGAGCAGCATGTGCCCAACGAGATAGCGCAGGGACAGCAAATCTCCCGGTACAAGCAACGCTCCCCAGCGAGTATCCGCGAGCCTCAGGTAGAATATGGTTCCCACCCAGTGGAAACGGAAGCCCGTTATCGCCCGCATAGCAACTCCCTAGTCAAAGAAAACAGCCCAATCCGACCTCCTAGTAGTCGTGAAAGCCTACCGGCAGAGTATGCAACGATGCAGCCCCGGGTGGAAGACGAAGAAGAGGAGGGTCCTCCGCCTCCGCCCCCGGTTCATCGATCCGGCCTGGTCCAGACCAGTCAGCAGTTAGTACCGTCACCAACCCCTTCGTACCAAGCTTACTCGCCAGAGTTTGCATCCCCCCGGACCTCCAGAGAAATCAACCTGTCGCAGTCGTCGCACCTGCAGTCCGACGGGGCCCGGATGCAGGAACTTCCCCCACATACGAACGGACCGGCAATGCCCCCCAGTCTAGTCGCCGGGTTTGACCCTGCCATTGCAGAGGCCGAGTCGGACCGTGCCGAAAATGAACGGCGCCAGAGTCGAAGACGCAGTGAACTGATCGAAGATATTATCCTGCCGCCCGAGCCGACATCCGTGATCGTGCCGTACCCTGTAGAACCGTCCCCACCGATCATGGACGACCGCCGTTCACTGATCAGTAGAGGATCAGCGCATTCATCGGAGACTCGTCTCGTGCCTCGCCGGAAATCTGTCAGTCCCCGACCACCACCCCTCGGCGAGCGAGAGACGTCTCAAATCCCGTTCTCGCCGGATTCGTTTGATGCCTTTAATCCAAACGCTGCTCGCGCGGCGGTCTTCCGGGACCCAGCTCCGGCATACGAAACACCAGCCGAGGCGATGGACGCCGCCCGACGGTCCGAGAGGGAAGCAGCACGAGACCCGGGTCCGATCATTGGTGACGATGGTCGAGAGATCGATCCCTCTGACCACCTGCCTACCGATACATGGGCCCCAGAGCCGGAACGGAAGACCAAGAAACCAGGTGTGGTAGTCCGCTTCAAGAATGTCCCACGAAAGAGGAGCCCTGCACCACCGCCTGTTCGAGAGTATGCACCACGGTCCCGGCCCTTGGTGGACGGACAATATAGGCGTCAGTCATACGTGCCGGATCCTACTATTCGAACCTCGCCCGGGGAGAACCGTGGTCGCGCACTCTCGCCTTACAGACATGGACGGACCATGAGTTCCCCGAACGCAACCCCCTCTCATCGAGCCTCTGTCTCCCCATCTCCACGTGGACACTCCCCGTCAGCCTTGTACGCCCCGGTCCACACTGGCCCACCCATTCCAGCCAAGGTGCCGATTGCCCAACCCATGAACCAGAGCTACCCGTTGATGAGTAGTAACGGGGTTCCTCAGAGCTATCCCGTGGCGGGCAGTGACCAGGGAATGGACGCGCTGAGCCGAGAGCTGAATAACATCGACATCGGGTCTGTGGGGTGCAGCAACCAACGGGCACTCAGGAGATACGTCCCCAAACTGCCTGCAGGATATGCCGCATAATGTTTCGGTCCATGACTTGATGACCTTTTCTTTGTTGTCTTCTTTTCTTTTTTCATTTTTCTTCGTCTTCTTTTTGGCCTCTAAGATTGCATGGAGAATGAAAAATGTACGAACGTGGTTTCTGGGTTTTTCTTTTCGGGCGGCGTTCAGGTTTATTTATACACACAGAGATATCTATACATACGCAGATTGATACTTGGCACCGGTTAACATGGTTTGAACATGATCACGAATATAACAGACGATTGGCATTGCATACATAGCATTACTCAAAGACTGAATTGAAATCCTTGGTCCATCCTTCTCTGATTCGTTCTGACGACTTACCACCTATCACATCCAGGAATCCACAAACCCTCACCAAGACCAACAACCCAACAGTGAAGAAAGAAGAACCCCCCTTTGTCTCCCACC